CACTGGGCAAGAACGGGGGCCCAAGCGCACTGGGCAAGAACGGGGGCCCAAGCGCACTGGGCAAGAACGGGGGCCCAAGCGCACTGGGCAAGAACGGGGGCCCAAGCGCACTGGGCAAGAACGGGGGCCCAAGCGCACTGGGCAAGAACGGGGGCCCAAGCGCACTGGGCAAGAACGGGGGCCCAAGCGCACTGGGCAAGAACGGGGGCCCAAGCGCACTGGGCAAGAACGGGGGCCCAAGCGCACTGGGCAAGAACGGGGGCCCAAGCGCACTGGGCAAGAACGGGGGCCCAAGCGCACTGGGCAAGAACGGGGGCCCAAGCGCACTGGGCAAGAACGGGGGCCCAAGCGCACTGGGCAAGAACGGGGGCCCAAGCGCACTGGGCAAGAACGGGGGCCCAAGCGCACTGGGCAAGAACGGGGGCCCAAGCGCACTGGGCAAGAACGGGGGCCCAAGCGCACTGGGCAAGAACGGGGGCCCAAGCGCACTGGGCAAGAACGGGGGCCCAAGCGCACTGGGCAAGAACGGGGGCCCAAGCGCACTGGGCAAGAACGGGGGCCCAAGCGCACTGGGCAAGAACGGGGGCCCAAGCGCACTGGGCAAGAACGGGGGCCCAAGCGCACTGGGCAAGAACGGGGGCCAAGCGCACTGGGCAAGAATGAACCCTGCATTGGGGTCCATTCAAAGCCAATGCGCTGCAACACATAATACAGTGGAGTTGCCATCGCAGTATAAACGCATTGTGAGCGGCCTCTATCCCACGTTGGCTCCACACAGAATCCTTCATGTTGAAAAACGACTTGGACCGGCCCGCGCTCATAATTTATAGCAGTTGGGCCCTTCGCCGGACCAATCAGTGACACAGCAATTCCCGTAATGTGCGGCCGGCCTCTACAAGCCGACTTCTCATTGGCTGCCGTCCGCATAGATCAGCAGGAGCGGCGTTCTCTCTCCGGCACAGCGGCTGCATGCTGGGACACGGCGCGCTTCAGGCTGAACACAGAGACGTCATTCCGTATGAAGACGACATTCCCGGGAACCAGAATTTCAGGTTCTAGAAGCAACCAGAAAATTCTGCAAACTGATCCGGCTGATAAGAGGAAGAAAAACGAGGCCAAGTGAAGGGAACGAGGCCGATGGGAGCGCCGATCCTAACAATCAAACCCATCCAATTATAATGCATGACACGGAGGCTGCTGAAATCATTCAATACAACAGCCAACAATTCTACGTCCCTGGAAGGGGAAAAACAGCCATAATGCCCAAAAACTGAAACATGATGTCCTTGAACAGACGGACATCCTCCACTTCAGTCTCCTATCGGACCTCCGTCCCCCCCTTCAGTCTCATACCTGACCTCCGTCCCCCCCTTCAGTAATAACGAAACCCGGGCGGCGCAGTGCTGAGGGATCGGCGCAACGTTCTGAACGTGATTTTCGCAGTGCCCTGTGCCAGGCCCGGGCTCAGGAGAAGTAGGTCACGCAGCGGCTGCGGGATATTTGCACCGGTCTCCGAGTCGGGATATCCTTCTCTGCCGGGAGCCCTTGGGGGGAACGACGCTGTCTTGGAGGATTAGGCTACGGACCTGGAAGAAACCGGGGACAACCGCACACGCACAGGAAACCTGAAGACATATCAAATTCCCCGATACAGAGTTCCCAAAATTAGAATTTATTCCACAAATAAAATAACAAAAATGTTTTTAAAGAAATTACATTTTAAACATTTCCAAAGAAAAAATAAATGGCGTGTGGCCACATATCCCCCGGAGGTCAAGGCGGAGCCTCGGTGCGGCTCGGAGATGGTCGCCGATCCACCGCAAGTTATTCCCCGACAATAAAGAGAATTTCCTTTTCTGGAAGATCGACCAAAAAGTATCGAGTTCAGGGGAGTCGGCAAAGCCGCTGCGGCTGCCATTTGCTCTTCATAGAACGCAATGCGTGAATGGGGGAGGGGAGGGGTTCGCTTTCGTTCCTGGTTCCGACCCGCCCGGTAATACGCCGAGAAGGACAACTGGCCACACACAGATCCGGATTCTTGTAGCATTTGCCCGAATAAAGTGGACCTGTGATGAAGTCACAGAGGAGGAGGATGAGCATGTGATGAAGTCACAGAGGAGGAGGAGCATGTGATGAAGTCACAGAGGAGGAGGAGCATGCAATGAAGTCACAGAGGAGGAGGAGCATGCAATGAAGTCACGGAGGAGCATGCGATGAAGTCACAGAGGAGGAGGAGCATGCAATGAAGTCACAGAGGAGGAGGAGCATGTGTTAGGTGATGGCGGACAGGTGCCATAAATGTGACAGGATGTTGTACATCAGGGGAAGGCAAACGGTGTCGCTCCAGCCGTGGAGCAACTACAAATCCCATGAGGCATTGCAAGACTCTGACAGCCAACTGCATCCACTCCGCCTCTGCTGGTGCCATATTATCTTCCTCCATTGTCTTCTTCTTTGTCCATTGGGCAGGCCCTCTGCCTTGCAGCACTGGGGGGGTCCCCGGTTCGAATCCCGGTCAGGACACTATCTGCATGGAGTTTGCATGTTCTCCTTGTGCTTGTGTGGGTTTCCTACGGGTACTCCGGTCTCTTCCCGCACCCCAAAGACATGCTGGAAGGTTCATTGTAATATTATGTATGTATGTATGTATGTATGTATGTATGCATGTATGTATGGTAGGGACCTTAGATCGTAAGCTCCTCCAGGGCAGGGACGGATGTGAATGTGCCCTGTGTAAAGTGCTGCACATATTGTCGGCACCATATAAATATCTGTAATAAGTAAAGTATCAAATACATTCTCTTCCACCAAAAATCTGACCCGGTATGTTGGCAAATGTTAGGGTTTTTTTTAGGTTTACTTCCGCTTTAAAGGGCCGGTGGGGACAGAGCACAGGTTCACTTTAAGCCAGTGGTTCTCAACCTGTGGGTCGTGACCCACAGTTGAGGGGGGTCCCCACGTGCCTTGTGCTGCTCTAGGTAAGAGGCTCCTCAGCCTCCTCCTAGCGCGGCAGTGTCAGTTCCCCTAGATGGCGCCGCAGCATCAGCGACCGGAGAGGATCAGAGAGAGGGGAGCAGGCAGGAGTGAGGGGAGGTAAGTGCTTGGGCACCACAGAGAGTCCCACTAGCCACCTGAGAGCCCGCATAGCCTCCCGAGGGCCCACACAGATACTAGTATTGGTGCATCCCTAAATTTTACAGTTGGCGGTCACCACAACTTGGAAAATGTTACCAAGGGGTCCCGGCCCTAGAAAGGTTGAGAACCGCTGCTTTAAGCAATGTGCCTCTGCTTATGTCCTACCGCTCTCACCCTTCACTATTGGTCAGTGAGGCTGCCCATCAGAACTGTGGACCAACAGAGACATACAGGACGCGGGGGGGAGGGGGAAGTGTCTACATGCAAACAAGCATGGACATGGTAATAAAAGACAGAAAGTACACCAACAAAGAAGCAAGACCATTTAAAAAGGTCCACTTAAAGGGCCAGAGGACCGTTTATTAAAAAAGTGACCGACGTGTCAATTATTTTATTATTAGGAATCTGATGCGTCACGTTCAAAACTGCATTTTTTTTTGTGCAAATAGCTTCCTAAGTATTTATATATAAATAGTGTTTTTGTTCCCCTGGAAGTGCACTGCGCTTATATTACGTGGTTGAGTTACTTCTTCAAAAGGGAATCGGTCAAATCCCTGACATGACAAGGATCGTGCCCGGCGACGGGCTGCAGCCAATGAGACTGAAGCAATTGTGTTCCCGGAGAAGGCGACAACGTTTTCCTTTTCCAGGCTTCAGGGAAGTTGACGTTTTTCAATGCCCGAGGCGCGTTCGCTTTCCCTTTAAGGAGAGATTTTTCTGCAGGAAGCTGCACTTCGGCCGCTCGTACCTGATGGCGGCCGCGATTACATTCATGCAGATACCGCGACAGGCGACACCCTAACAGGTCGGCTTGGAAGGCGCGGCAGATACAGACGAAGCTAATTACACTCTATGGGGATCTTCCGGGCCTCACCGTGCTTGGAGGACTCCCAGAAGATGACACAAGACTTTCCACAACAGAATTCTACTCCTGAAGACAGGACTGGAAACTTTATATGAATGCGACTGAAAATATAAATCGCCGTCCCCGGACAAACGGGAAACAAATATCAAATCCAAAACTTCATTTGACAGTTCACACGGAAAACAGCTCCGGGGCATTTCAGGGGACCGCTCCCTACCATAGTCCCTGGCTCCGTTCCCCTTTGCCTCGGAGGCCGGGTATTCCCTCGAATGCATAATATAACATAAATCAAAGCCAGCAAGGATCGTGGGAACCCTTCATGATGGCCGTGCCAGGTGTACAGACCCGGGAACTCCCCGCTGAGATCTCCCGGCCAGAGAGGGAAATATTCTGTACACCCGCTGTGCCCATTATGAGGGGCCCCCACCATCCCTGTGCTGAGTTCCCGGGTCTGTACACCCGCTGTGCCCATTATGAGGAGCTCCCACCATCCCTGTGCTGAGCTCCCGGGTCTGTACACCCGCTGTGCCCATTATGAGGCTGTGCCCATTATGAGGAGCTCCCACCATCCCTGTGCTGAGCTCCCGGGTCTGTACACCCGCTGTGCCCATTATGAGGGGCCCCCACCATCCCTGTGCTGAGTTCCCGGGTCTGTACACCCGCTGTGCCCATTATGAGGGGCTCCCACCGGCTCTCTTGGTTAAACATGGCAGCCTTCTCCAGTGTAAGCTCTGATCACCAGACTCTCTGAATCTCGCTGATAAGGGTGGCAGTTTGAACCTAACCCTATAACCCTGAGGGCCCGTTCACACCACTGTGCTGCAAAACCACACTGCACGGCGGTAATGCATGCGGCGTTGCAGCGCACAGCGTTGCCATGAGGTTGGGCCCCTTCAGTCAGCCTTCTGCTCCATGACATCAAAGACTTTATGCCAAACAAAAATTCCCCTTGGGGGGGAAGAAATATGGTCATTGTGGGGTTACCGAGGATCGCACTCACCCATGTTGTAACCGTACGGCGACTCGGTGGACCCGTCCTGTAAACTGGCCAGGATCTCCCCTTTGCCGACATCGCTGTCCCCGACCAATAGAAACTTCAGGAGGAAGTCGTAGGCTTTGAGTGGGCTGGCCCTGTGGGTCATTCTCTTCTCCGAGAGACTCTCCAGCTGTTGGGGCCGGCCTCAGCCCATCATGGGGCGAGAAGAAACCGAGGTCACGGATGCAGAGTAGAGGGGAGTATCATACCCAGACTCCTCCGCAAACTACGGGGGGGGGGGGAAAAGGGGGTCAGAGGTCAGCCAACAGGAAC